AGCAACAGTTTCATTGCCAGTCTAATGCAAAATTAAAAGAACAAAAACGTCATGTACCAAACATGCAAATGCCATGAAACGGAACAACTCCCGAGGGTGGGCCTTCATATTGCTTTGACTTTGCTACATTTAATAAATCAAATTGTATCGATTGATTGATTTCCGTATCACGCGAAAAGCAAAGCATTATCTAGAACAGACATTAGAAACATCAATTGATGTAATTAATTTATTCATTTTTCTTTGAAAACGAAGATTTGAAATTCAATTTTACCTGATATAAAATATCTTCAAACACAAAATATTGGTCATCATTTGTAGCTGTGAGTTGAACGTCTTTGAAGACGAGTTTGTCAACAATGAGATCAGTCATTAGAACGGCGTTTTTCAATTTCTCCCAATAAGGCAAATTCTATGGACGCAAAGCATTTGAAAATTGAGAAAAAAAACAATCCACATCCATACATATATATATCCACGCAATATTGATGACTTACACTAACAAAACTATGACTTCCAAGTACATAGGACCAAAGTTCGCCGCGAAGTGGTTTTGGTGTTTGTCCCTTTTTTAATGCATGTTGACACAACGGAGCATGTCGTTGGCTCAAAATTCGCCTACACTGCGCGGACCAATTCGGTATTGTTGGTCTTAATAAGTCACGGAAATGCATTTTTAATTCAAGTAAATTTTTCACTGGCAGTGTTATGTGTGAGAATTCCCATTTTGGATAGATGCTGAAATTGAAAACGTTGATAACACGTGTTACACCGTACGGAAACAGACTGAATGATTAATGAAAATTACTCGTCCTCCTGTCGCATTGGTCCCTTTAACGACAGCAATACTTCGAGTAGATCTTTTGGAGCGTAAACTGGCCGATAATTGCTCAAATCTAATATTGATGTTTGGAACATGGACAGGACAGATTGCAGAAAATAATGTGTTGAAACAGTTTATACAATAATGACATTTTAAAATATGCAAATTCGTTTTAGCTTTAGAATCAACAGACCAATTTGATAATTGCTTAATTCATCCCATTTGCTCAGAAGTTCTTCTCGTTCAGCGCTCGTTCTAATTTGGCCTTGTAAAGTCACTTCCATTTCGGTGCACATGGAATTTAATGATTTTCGAACTCTCCGTTCCCATAAAATTCCTGCACGTCGAAGATAACTTAATGCATCATTCTACAATGAAGATTTATAACCAGAAATTGAAATATATTCGCGAAAATTCTGTGTTCTTTTTCCTTAAAAATTTCTTACGCATTGCACTGGATTTTTGGTGTCACATTTTGTCGAAGCTCTCAACAGGTTAAAGACAATGTTTCGTATTTCCGTTTCTAAGCCATTTGCTTTGATTGCTTGTTCCAGTGTTCGTTTCATATCGACTTTATCAACGTCCGGCGAACAAACCAATTGCTAGTGTTTTAAAAATAGGAATATATGGCAACAATTGGAAATTGAAACAACTCAGTCAAATGTCAATCACATCGAATACCTGAACAGTTTTATAGATGATTTCATCGTAGCTTTTCATCGATGTTATTTCGGAGAGCACTTTTAGAGCTGTGTGATGGATACTCACATCTTTCAACTCTTCCATTTCTTTTTAAAAATTCAATAAAAGTATTATTACACTGAAATAATTTCGAAATGCTGATGCATACACATAGTATGCATTGCATTAGAAGTGCGGCAGAATGTCAATAACGGATCGATAAACAACAAACAACCATCGTGTACGGTAACTAGGGAATGAATGACTGTACTATGCAGCATTATAAGCGAATCATTTGCAATTTAAGCATATACATTTTTGTGCATAATCGAACTGAATTGGTTTCAAATATTCGAACAAATGAAATGAAGAAAGTAAACTGCACATTCTACTACCGTGGTTGTACGTTAAAACATTAATTTATTATAATTATATTTTTGAAATAAATACACAGATTACAAATAACAACTTATTCAACATGCAAATTTATCGTATCAAATTATGTCGCACGCTTTGATTCTTCTAATCGTTTTCCTCAATATTTTGGATATTTCCTCTAATTCTACATTTTGATTTTCCCAGTCCTGTGTGTCTTTACAGATAGATCTGAGTATGATATTGTTTCTAATATCTTTGCATAGATGCTCACGTTTGCACATGTTGATTTTATCAACGAACACAGTTTTGGTCATTTTTTTGGAAAACTGATGGATCTCCAATTGTTTCATCGTACATATGAACTGAAGGGAATGAAAGAGAAAACAATTATTTTTTGCAATGCTGATGTGTTATTAAATTGAAATATACGTACCGACTGCGAACATGGGTAAAATCAGGAATAAACACAATTTCATTCTAATTTTAATAGCAATTTGTTTTATCACAAAGAAATTTTCTCAATTGGACTACTGAGTCGTTGTCTTCTGAATAGAGAAAACCCAAATGGTGTTGAAGCTTTGAGCAAGCTGCCTTTTAATATATGGATTGAGATTTCCTTTTTTCAATAAATTACTTAGAATAAACATGACGTAAATATTCCTGATTCTACATGGTTTATTCTTCAGCGTAGTGAGTCATAGAAAAATCTGGCTTTCTTCGTAAAATTACCAACTTCCAAAAAACTGATAACATTTCCTACAAATTTTCCTAGTTGGGCACTGGGAAAACCAAAATGAATCAACGCGATTTGTGATAATGTTACGCAGTGCTGTGCAATGGAGGAATTGAATATGATAAGAATAATGGAGCACGGTGAAACACACATCGACCTTAGATTCTATGGGAATAAATTGAAGGAATACACATTTTTTTTAAATATTATTTTATTCTTCTCTTATAAACAATTTCAAACAGTTTTTTTCCAATGATAACAAATAACAAGAGTGGAAAAATGAAACCCTGAAACGTGTATCATCATTCAGATGATAGTTTTGGCATGTTGTCTTGTGGTTTTTACCATTGTGGAGCGGCACCGTATGAAGCTGGAGAAGCGTATGAAGCTGAAACACCGTATGAAGCTGGAGCAGCGTATGAAGCTGGAGCAGCGTATGAAGCTGGAGCAGCGTATGAAGCTGGAGCAGCGTATGAAGCTGGAGCAGCGTATGAAGCTGGAGCAGCGGATGAAGCTGGAGCAGCGTATGAAGCTGGAGCAGCGTATGAAGCTGGAGCAGCGTATGAAGCTGGAGCAGCGTATGAAGCTGAAGCACCGTATGAGCTACTCAAAGCTGGAGCAGCGTATGAACTAGTCAAAGCTGGGGCAGCGTATGAGCTAGCAGAAAAGGCTGGGGCAGCGTATGAGCTATCAGACAAGGCTGGGGAAGCGTATGAGGTGTCCAAAGCAGGTTGGGCAGCGTAGGCAATTGGTTGAGGTTGAGCGGCAATAGCGATGACTTGTGGTTGTTGTTGGACATAGTATGGTTGTGGGACTGGGACTTGACGTTCAACAGCATACGGCTGTGGTACATTGACACGTTGGACAACGGTGCGAACACGTTCTACTGGGTATGGAATTGGTTGTTCAACTGGCACTTTAACTTCTACTGGGTATGGCTGTTTTTTTTGTTGAAAAATAGAAGAAAAGAGAAGTTGAAATTATATTCAATTCGGCTAGAATACAGCGGCTGATCAAAAGAAGATACTCACTTGTGGAACTTGACGTTCAACTGGATATGGTTGTGGTACGTGTTTGACAACTTCAACTGGGTAGGGCTGAAAATCATGGACGATAAACGAAATAAGAATGATTAGAATGCCATTTTGCTACGAAAATAAGAACGGTTTCGTCTAGGGGAATTTAACTCTTACGAGTTCAGCATGTTTTTTGCCAGTTTGCTTGATTCGCGGGAGTTCGACGCGTTCCTTGTACGTACTGACGCGCACGGTCACAAGTTTACACAAGTTTGTTTATGGTTTTGCGCGTTTTTCAAGTTGTTATTTGACAATTAAAACGCGTTTCAAGCTAAAAATCGGTTGTTTACGTGTATAAAGATTTTTCACATCCTTTCCAAAAGTTCAAAGATTTATATAATTATAAAATGGACAAAGGAAATATTTTTAAAGAGCTGGAGAAAGTGTTGAAGAAAAAGTTAATCCAGATATAATAAATGGAACGACTGATGTGTGCGCGTCGTCCAGCTACAAGTTTGCACACGAACTCGCGCGCGTTCGCGCATGTTGTTTTAATACGGAACTTGTCAACTGAGTGGAATCATGCAAGTTCTCTGGTGAATGTAACAATTTCGTGCGCGTTTATATCATTTTTTTACAAGTTTTCACGTAGTTAAATCCCCCTAGGGTTTCGTAATGATATTTACTTGTGGGACTGGACGGTCAACACCAACAGTCTTGACGATTGTGCGTTCAACTGGGTAGGGTTGTGGAACATTGATACGTTCAACTGAATGAGTGTTTTGAACTTGAGTTGGCAAAGCTTGGGCAGCATATGATGGGGCAGCAGCATACGAAGCTGGACCAGCACCAAAAGCAGCTGAACCAGCACCAAAAGCAGCTGAACCAGCACCGAAAGCGCCTCCGGATAAACCGGCGGATGGCAACAAACCACGTTTCTCCTTCTTCGATACACCAGCCATGCTAGTGGCCACAAGGGCAAACATGCACACAACCTGAAGATGAAAACAGAAAATGACAGATACATTATATTATTATTATTTCACTGCACTTATATTGAAACACATATCTCTCAAAAACCAAATGATTGTCCATACCAAGAATTTCATTTTTCCAAAGCTTATTGGGTTAATCTTTCGATTGAAATAAAACTGTTATTTGTTGAACGAACAACTGCGGTATGATTTCTGATCCGATGTGCGACAGTTTTTATACGAAAAAAATGGAAGCCCCCCCCCACCGTGTTTGAATTTGTTGGAAAAACAAAATAGAAAGCAATCAATTAATCAAGTTTGAATAGTCTAAGTGAATTTGCTAAAAATAAAATCAGATCATAGCAAGGGTGTAGCGATCCAAATACATTTATTCATTCATTAACTCAAACCAAAGTGACAACGACAACGAATTCGTCTTCATTTTACCAATCATAATAATTGTTAACGCAAAAATTTGAATAAATCGAAACATTTCACTTTCGCTTGGCTCCGACTGTCACCGCTGTTCGCTTAGAGCGGTCTTTTAACACTAGACGTAATGAATGCCATTCGCCGCTTTGATATAAATGAACTGATCAACTTCTGATAAGGCGATCGGATGTTTCTCATCACATTCAAATGAATGTGTTGTTGTAACGATCGAATTTAGAAATGATATGGTTTGGTTTAGCAAATCGGCGAGAGAATGTGTATCGCATAGACAAACCAATCTCAATCATACGGTCAATTTGGATAAATCTCATGCATTAAAACACTTTGCTGCGTTTATCTCTAAAGTTCGGATTTTGTTTTATTCATCGTTATACGAATTTAGTTTTATACATTACTTAAATGAATGGTAATTTTTTCCGCAATATCGCAACACTGTGACTGTTTGCTTATCTAAATTTTCGTCAGCGCTATGTTAAACTCCAGTTGAAACTGAAGCAGATGGCCATGAAGCACTCTGTCCACTTACAATTCCATACACAGGATTCTCAGTATCCCCAGATTGAAAAACCAAGTAATCAGTTTTACAAGAGGCACAATTGCCGGTATTCATTTTTGCCCATATTTATTATTCAAAATGACATAATATTCTGCAGTCTTTTTCTGAAGTAGTTTATAAATGGTTTTCTCACAAACATCGAATAAAGGTCATGATTTGGAATGCACAACAATTGCACATGCCACCACATTGAATACGTTATGTCGTATCTGCGATGAAAATAATGAAATGAACAAACTACAAGCACACAACACACCGAAAATGTTAACCATTTCATACATGATAATCGTCGTTTAAATACAAATGTTGATCGAATTCCAGATGACCAAACAACTTAACATGCACATATTAAATACATGATCACTTATCGATTCAAGGGCCAACCATTTAACCTTTCAGTTTGCTCACAGTGTAAGTGTCAAATTACAGTCAATATGTCAAATATTGAATACAATGTCCTGACTAGCTATTTTTAAAATTAAGCATTTTTCGTATGTATCTACTTTTTAAAAATGTTTGATTTGAAATTTTTCCAATTATTACGACTGAATTGATAGAAAATACTGTTGAAATATACATATAAAAAAAGCATTAAAAGTCCCTAGAATTTTCTTAAGCTCTAATTTTTGGTGTATTTATGTAATTATCGGAGAATATTTGTTGTTCATTTGAAAATTTATGAATGGAAGCGCTATTTGGTATGATTTTCTGCTCACGCATTTCAACTTCTTCGGGTGGATTTTTGGCGGGTCTATTTCGAATTTCGTCAAAACTTAAATAAGTTGTCATAAAACTTGGTGATTGTGGTGAGAGATGGGCTGTGATGGATATTGGAGTGGCAATATTAATTGGTTGGCTCACAGTTTGTCCATTCGATTGAGTGATTTGTACAGTTTCGAAACGGTTTCGTTCATTCTGATTAGGTTCAGGCACTGGTACATAACGTGGAGATGCTACTTGCGCTAAATAATCTGTTTCACGTGAAGCGAAATCACATCTATTTCTTTCTATGTATGGCTCATTCAAGCGGTTCAAGTGCTGTATGTCTTCATTCTCCAATAAGACGGAAATTTCTTTCTCTAGCATATCGAATAGAGGTCGCGATTTGGGTAATGCTTGCCAGCATGACAACATAATATCGTATCTATAACAGAAATTAAATTAAATCTCGATAACTTTGATTTTATCCCAGATGAATCTACTGTTTTCTTACATTTTAGGTGTTGCATAATCCGGTTTCTCCATTCGATAGTCAGTCAATAATTTTTTGTATAGATCCATATTTGGTTCCATCCCTGGATACGGCACTTTTCCCAATGAAAAGAACTCCCAGAGGACGACTCCAAACGACCAAACGTCTGAGTATGTGCTGAACACTTGATCTCCGATCGATTCAATCGCCATCCATTTAAATGGAATGGGAGTCTGTGAATTTTTTTCTGTCTCAATTTTCATTTCAACTCACAATTAAAGAATTCGTTCAATTTCATTACCTGAGATTTTTTGATGTACTCTTCACGTTTGTATACTGAGCGTGCCAAACCAAAATCACAAATTTTCACAACATTATTACTGCAAAGCAGAATATTTCTGGCCGCCAAATCACCATGCAATACATTACGTGATGATAAATACATCATTCCTTGTGCCACTTGCAGTGACCAACGGATCAAATCTGTTGTTGTAAATGTACGAGCATTTGATTGCGCTGCGTTTTCTGCTGCACTTGCATAACTATGACCTATTGGAAAATGATTATTTTTGGCATTAATATCAAAGAAAAACACATGAACTGATACATCAGTGTCAACTTACTTTCTGATTGCTCACTTTGCGAATTTTGCAAAATTGCGGTTTCAGCCGATGAATAACTGCTCACTACAGGCTCTCTCGTATACAACGAATTGGCTGATTGTTGCTGTTGATCACCCACTGAAGCTATTGTACTTTAAAATGGAATACAAGAATGCGAGTCGTAATAAATTTGACGCAGATTTATTGGCACTAAAATAATAAATCATCAAGAATACCTGCTATTTGTTATGTATCCACTGCTATTCGACTGCGGTTGTATTATATTCCTTTGGACAATTATGTATGCATCGTTGGTGCGTACGATTTCATCGATGAAATACTGACGATTATGTTTTAAGAAATTCTCCAAATTTCCAAATTCGCAAAATTCAACAATAACCATAAACTCGCCGGCTGAAAATGATGTGACATTGAAGATTGTTTGTATTTTAGACATTCATTTTTGAATCAAACTTACTTTGAGCAACATTCTTCGTAACCGCACCCAGTAAATTAACCACGTTTAAATGTTCGCCTAAGTGCACCAAAATTTTCAATTCTGACATTAATGCCATTAATTCCATGCCCTGTTTTGGAACAATTGTTTTTTGTCAATAAAGAAGAATGGTAAAATCAAAATGTTGAAACGGTCACCTGAGAGTCCAGTTTCGGTTTGACTGACTTAACAGCAACCGTTGTCTCTTCCTCATTCGGTAAAATTCCCTGAGCAATTCCTTTCGTTACCATACCAAATGCCCCGGCGCCAATTTGTTTACCGAGCTTAAGTCTATCCCGTGCAAATTCATATTTATTACCATTATATGGTAATAGACATACTTGATCATCTAAGGTCATATCTGGATTAATACCTTCTGGATCACCTCTTAGGAATTTTTCAAAATTGTCCGGTTGAAGTTTGGTTTGTGATGAGAAAATTGGGTTTCTAACACGACGTTTACGCCGTAAGTATGCTTTGCGGATCAGAAATACAGTAAAAATGAAGCAGAGCACTACCGTAACTACAATTACAATTATGGCTGTTTGTGATGAGTCTGAAAGTTTGAAAAAATTGTGATTGTCAAAAGATCGCGTATTTCCATTTTTTCAATGCGTACCTCCATTTGAAGTACTCGAATGGCCATCATTATATTCTTTGCTAACTGTCGTGTCTTGTTTATAGTAGTAGACGATTAGATCATCAGAGCTATCACCTTCCGTATTTTGTGCACGACAAACTACGTTCGCAGCATTTACGTTCAGCTTGAAGTGTACAATTGATGTTTGATTGAGATCGTTTGTCTTGAATGTTTCCTTTATACAGAGGAAGTAATTTATTATTGATAAATGAAATAATCTAGTGCAATTTTCAATTTCCATTCCACTCACTTTGCTAAGTTCTCCATTCTTGTCTTTTACGGACCAGGTAATTTCTGACGCAGGATATCCATAAACACGACATTCTACTGTAATATTTTCGCCGTTGCTTCCATACCTAACAATTCTCGCCTGCGGCTTTCCTAAAAAATGCTAAGAAATTGACAAAAATTCCAATATTTCAATTGATTATTATGATTGCATACCCGCGATGAGCAATTTAAATGTTTCATTCATCGTTGTAGAGCCGCTGCGCACACTCAAAGTATAGTTTCCAGAATCCAATATGGTTGCGTTTCTTATCTTCAGAGCGGTCCATTTTCTATTCAGATCGCCAAACGCTTCAAATTTCTTATTTATATCCTCTTTAATCGTCCAATTTATACTTTTATTGTCATTGTCGAACCACTGTAATGTGAGCGCAGGATATCCTTGGTATTTTACCAGATACATTTCTGCAGATTTATTTGTACTCGATTCGAAGTGATTAAATTGTTCATTCTTTGTAATAATGAAAGACGAGACGTTTAAAATGTTCGTTATGTCAATTGTAGCGCTATGTTCAGTTGCGATACAATTCACCACACATCTATATTCGCCCAAATCCGTTGTTCGGTTTACATTTACGACTGTCAGTTTTGAGGTTGCCTTATTTATTTTATTTTCCTTTATGCGATTTTCCTTTAAGAAAAAAACAAATAATTCTTTCACTCCATTCTCAAGCACAAATTTACATTGAAATAAGTACCATGTGGGCAATATTATTGGGCCGATACCATGTAAAATTATATGGGGCACGAGGATCTTTGCCACACATTGATTCACAGCTCAATTCAAGATCGGTATTCGTAACGTATGATGTGATTTCTATATCGTCATGACAAATTGGTGATGCTATCAATGGAAAATAAAGAAGAAGAAAATCGAAATGATTAAAATGAAAATAATATGTTCATCTAAGTATAGTATAAACGAGCCTTACACGATTCCGGATATACATGCACTTCATACGATTCTTTATTGTAGTTGGTTGAACATTCGAATTGATTGTTACTGGCTAATTGGGCACTTTTCAATTTATAGCCGTAGGATGCCTTCTTCGAGTTTTCAATAACAGTACCATTTTTGAGTCGAAGTGTGATACTTTTTTCCTCTTTCGACGTTGGTTTACAGGGATAATATCTGTTACAATTGTCCCACACCCAAATAAATTTGTGCTCAATATTAAACACTTGATTTTTATTGTCTAAAACCAAATATTCGATTTAGAATTTGTGAGCAATCGATTGTAAATGTCAAGGAATCTCACCGTTAACATATAAGTGCACATAAGAATGTTGTCCATGCAAATCCTTAGGTTCAGAAATCACCGTTGAATTGTTTATGCAGTAGTATTGCCCAACAGACTTATGGTCAACATTTAAAAGGTGAAGTGTTTCGTTGTACAAGCCATCGGTTTCATTTGAAATGATTTCGAATTTTCTTTCAAGAAATTTTGCTGCATTCATATAAACCTTGGCTTCTTTTGAATCCCATGCAAATGTTATTGTCCACAACAAGGGAAATTTTGCCCATATATCAATCCAATATACTGGTTGTTTGGATGAACAGGTAAAAGTGACATTAACTCCTCTCTCCGCTGAGTATTCGTCATTCATAACACCGTCAGGAGTTTTTATTTCAATGCCTTCAGCTGATGCTATCGAAATATACAAGAACTATTTATTTTTCAATGTTTTTCAAATTGTTGATTGATCATTAATTCAAAATAATAATTTTTGTTGTTGTTTGACAAATCGTAGAGGAAGTTTTGTCAATATTTTCGCGTATTTGTTGAGCTACCTGATACTTTACTGATTTAAGAGAAAAAACGATAGGAAATCGTTTAAAATTCTGAGAAAAGCAACTTTGAAGTGAATAAAGTATAAAATATGAAAAGAATCATTTTTTCGGTTGTTTTCCTTCATTTTTTCTTTCTTAACAATTTATTTTACGAATATAAATACGAACTGCAACCGAACCGAACTACCCATGAGAAAATCAATTCTCAGAATACGAATTGCAACTGAACTCAAATTCAAAACAATTTCGAGTAATATTCTGAATTTGTGCCCAATCTCATATGGAGTTAATATAGAATTTTGGTCTAGCTTCGGCGGAAATTCGGCTTAAGACCTGGTCTACACCAAATGAACATGGCAAAGCATAGCTGTGGACCTGATTTACGTTTTTTCATGGGTATTTTAAATTTTGAATGCATTCTTGGACATAGATCCGTGTTTGCTAACTTTTTGGGAAGATATTGAGCCCAACGAGATCTCAAAAGCAGACATTTGTGAATTTTATAAAAAAAATTTGCCGATAGTGACCGAAACAGAAATTGGAAGTTCATCGATTTTTAGAAGAAAAAAAAAATTAGCAAAAGAAAATGTTCTTTTATCAGTGGTGAGGTCATATTGACCGATTGGTGAGTAATATTTCATTTGCAGAGCCATCATACATGACGATAACTTTATAGCGCGGTATGCTGTTACTCTTATCAAAAAATTCAAAAAATAAATTGTCATGAAAAACATTATGTGGTTTTTCATTTTTTTTAGAACGCAGTTCAACATAATCATAATATTGGTCCCGATAAAAAAAAAACAGATTTTAGAATGACTGTTTGATAATAACACGTGTTCACACATTCATACACAAATCCAACCATCGACTTTGTATGGCTTGAAAAGATTTAAGTTTTTTATGAATCTGACGGTCTTTTTCTTGGTAATCAACATTGCATAAAGAAATTTAGAAAGGAAGCAAAAAAGAAAGAAAGACAGAAAGAAAATTATACAAAATGTTGAATATTCGGCTATGCTAATTTAAATTAGTACAACACACTCTGCGGCTAGGTTCTGAGGATTTCGTTGTTTTCAATGGAAATAATCGCTTACTTACCAGTGACTAGACATGAGAAGAAAAGAATTATCAAAATCACTGCACAATAATGGCCGCTCCAAATGTAAATCGATGCACGATTAAAGTTATCTGACACTAAAGGTAACATGTTTGATATACTTGATCAAGAACGAGATTGAAGTGAAACATAAGTCTGTGTATACTAAATTCAACAATTTTATTCGTTATCGTTTAGAGGATTCTCTGCAACGAATAATGTTGATTTCATCTATCATATTTTCATTCATCACTCAACAAAACATGGCTTTAAATCACTGTCCACACTGACACTGTCTCATTCACGTTTTAATGCAGAAGCGTCATAATTTATACTATCTACTAATGGAATACTGTCCGTATTGTAAATTCATTTTTAATGTACTGACGTAATAATCAACGTTCTGTAGGTTCTTTAGTTTGATTTTTAAAAAAACACTCGCATAGTGAACTAACTATTCACAAGAAAAACTTTTTTTTTTTTCAAAAATAAATTTGTTCCAAAATTTTTGCGTGTTGATGATTTCACATTCCATATTGTACTGAACCAACGTACATGACACATGCTTGATTACTGAAACGATAAAAAAGAAAGAATTCTGACTAACGGCAGCCATAAATCCATCTATACAAAATTTAAATACTCAAGTTAATATTTCTTCATATTTAATAAAACACCAATATAAAGAAACGGAGAACGGACAATCAACTTTTAAAAACTGAACAGTGCATCGATGATTTCCCACAAACAATGAACCATATAAATTTGCATACACAGCACTACATTTATAATATGATGGACCGATTTTAATTTCTATACCAAATCCGAAAGCAATGAGTATGAATTCGATAGAGTATATCGGAAGAAGAAATATTTGTTTTGAACACACATGATTAACGTGCATCCATAGAGTCTTAAAATCAGTTAATGTTCAGTGTATGTATTGTTATCACCGGAATATATAACTTACACAAATGCAGTTGAATCATTCTTCCATGAACACGATACAGGCTATATAATACTTACTCAGAATAAAAGCAATGTCGGTATGATTTAAATGTGAGTTATCTCAATTCGCTTTAAATTTCTGTATGTTGTATTTTAATATAAGTTCATTGAATTCGACGTGCGTGCTTTATCCGTCAGCGTCAAATAATTGTGAAATATATAACCGCAAACATTCCTCGTTATTTCTCGGATAAAGTAGTGACTTCAATATGTAGCTACGCTTCAAATTGTATTGATAATCGACTGGTAATAAATTTAAAATATAATATCATTTGAATACTGGTTGAGATTACTTCGTGACTTGCATAGATGTTGGTTCGATACTGGTTCGGTGTTGCAACAACAATGCTTTTCTCTGATCCGAACAGATGTAGTTTATTAGCGAAGCGTTTCAAAAAGTCACACATTCCTCTAAAGATGATCAATTTTTTCTTTCAAAAATTCAAAAACAAAACATTTAAATTGTTAACACAATTTTTATTTGTATTCATTTTTTTCATGCGGTTGTTTTTTGTTGTTGTTGGTATTATCCATATTCACTGTGATCCATTTAGATTGACTCTCGTTTCATTTTTTTTTTTTACACACATATTTAACAATTAAATGACTAGTTAGTAATAATAATATTAATAAATCCTATTTCGATAGCATTTTGGTTGCTTTCCATTTGTTTGTGGGTTTTATAATAATAATATTGACTATTTTTCGTCGATTTTACTTTTTTGCATTCATTTTGGTTGTTGCTGTTGTATTTAATTCTAACTCTCGTGAGATATAGTAATCTGCATGCGATGTTTATTAAATGTTAGGTATAAATGTTAATATTATATCTTGTGTTTTGCGCACATTATGTTTCTATGTGTGAAGAGGTTTTTTTTTAATTTCTTTTCAAATTGTTGGTACTTCCTGTGTCACTTCATTATGTTGCATTTACTTTGAAGTTTTCTATTTATCTTTTTATTTTTGGTTGCAATTTTCAAATGTTGTTTTTCACTTTATTGTTTATTTTCATTTAGTCTTATGAACCGTGCCGAAACATTGCCAAATTAAGGGTTTCATCTTTCCTAGAAATTACATGTCTATATCAGACATTCCGTGTGACCGCATATCGAGCTGAGCTATTTACAAATAGCTGGCTGTTTGGTAAATTTTGATTTTGTGACTATCAAGCCATGCAAATTCATGTGAGATGATAAATTTGGGACACCTTTTTCCATCCTTTTCATGAATTTGTGTCATAAATTTATCATCTCACATGAATTTACATGGTTCGATAGTCACAAAATCAAAATGTACCAAACAGCCAGCTATTTGTAAATAGCTCAGCTCAATATGCAGCCATACGGAATGTCTGGTCTATATAAAGTGTTTTGTTTTACTTCTTAAAAATGCTTTATTTTGTTCACATTTTAGTTATACCTCCACCGCTTTATTACTCTTTCTTCCTATATAAATTTAAATTTAGAATATGATTTCTTTTCTTTTCTTTTCTTTTCTCAAGTTAAATGTTAAACAACTCAATAAATTAAATACGAATATTCGTAGTACGCTCCATCTGTTTATGGCTTATGTGGTAAACTAGTTTATTATTTCAATTATTTAGATACAATGACCGTTCAGAACGATTGTGGTTTCAAATTATGACGAACAAAAAATAGTTTTGGCTTTTCGGAGATCTTTGTTTTTTTTTCTTTTATGCTCGTGGTAACGTAGATTATTATTTAATGGTAATTTTAAGATATTGTGTATGAATACGGTTTGTGCAATGCTTTGATTTACACTTCACCCTAAGTAATTTTTTTTACCATAGCTCACAAAATTGATCAATTTTCTCTGTAATTATGATTTGTAGTGAATTGTTACCGAATTTCAGTATAACAATTGTTGTATGCTTGAATTCAACCCAGTGACGCAATCGATTTGAATTTTCAGTTTTTGCTGCTTTTGACATTTTGATGGCCTATAAAATTATCCCGCTTTACTTTCTGTAATGACACAATTTTACGTGATATTCATTTGAATTTCATGTATAAAATGAATAAATAATAGCTGTGACTCGTTCAAGAGTTAATATTTGTTTTGAATTTCTTTTTTATTTATTGCAGAGAATGTTATAATGATTTTCACTGAACTAGAACTGAAATTCCGTTAAGACAATCGTTAATTGAAGCGGATTTGCGTACAATATTATGGAAATAATTTCATTGAGAGTGAAAAAATGTTTTTCTTTCTATTTTTACACTATTTACAATGTTCAATTTATAATCGAACTGAATTCATTTTGAAAACTTATAAAATGAATCGATTTTGGTTGATGTGTAGTGGTGTGCTAAGAAATTATGTTCAATTTTTTTTTGGCAGATATTGAAAGGTGCAGCACAGATAGCAAACGTATACAAAGTAATGAAGGTGGGAAAAAAATCTTGGAATTAATGTAAATGCTACATTTCATGGTAAACTTTTTCAGATGGATTGTTCTAGAAACCATTACTGAACTATTTCATTGTATAATAATTGCGTGCATTCAGTTTTCGGTCCAAATGAAAGCATGATTTTTGTTTAAATGTATATACCAATCCAATGAAGAAATGAAAATGTACGTTTATCCAACGAGAGTAAAACAAATCTATAACTACCCAATTTATTTTTTTTTTTTCAAAATCAAGCTACTTTTCTATGTACATAATGTCCCTTATGTTTTGAGCTCAATGGAATGCGGCTTGTGTTTGTAATGAAAAATATACCAGTTTTGAAATAGATCCTTTCGAATGAAGACAGAAAAAAAACTATACTCAATCATAAATAGAGGTGTCAACGGACAAAATTTTGTCCGTCCGTCCGTCCGGACATTTTTTGAAAAAATTCGGACGTCCGGTCCGAATGTCCGAATTTTTTTTCGGACGGACGGACGGACAAGGGGTTTGTCCGAACTTTTCAAATTTTTTCGGACGTCCGTAAAATTTCCGGACGTCCGGACAATTTCCGGACGTCCGAACAATTTCCGGACGTCCGAAAAATTTCCGGACGTCCGAAAAAAATTCAAAGCCAAAAAAAATATTCGAGCCAAAAAATAATTCAAAAGAAAATTTTCTCGGCTCCAATGATTTCTTTCTAATCCCACAATTGATCCGTTGCGGCAAACAAATTCCCTCAGAATATTTTAGTTTCAAAGTGCAACAACCAACGTAAAAACGTTTACCAAAAAGTGTAAACCAACTAATATACAAACTAATATATTTTCTTTTGAATTTTTTTCTGGCTCGATTATTTTTTTTGGCTTTGAATTTTTTTCGGACGTTCGAAAAAACTTCGGACGTCCGGAAATTCTACGGACGTCCGAAAAAACTTCGGACGTCCGAAAAAATTTGAAAAGTTCGGACAAAACCCCTTGTCCGTCCGTCCGTCCGAAAAAAAAATTCGGACATTCGGACCGGACGTCCGAAAAATTTTTTTGGTTTTCGGACATTCGGACCGGACGTCCGAAAAAAAATTCGGTTTTCGGACATTCGGACCGGACGTCCGAATTTTTTTTTCGGTTTTCGGACGGACGGACACTTTTGTCCGAATTTTTGTCCGTGTCCGTTGACACCTCTAATCATAAATAGTATTTGTTTTCTATGAAGATTTTAATTCTAAACATCTAATCAACAACAATACAAAGGAAAAAAAGTACTTTGGTTCCGAGCAAACCACTGGAAAGAAAAATTCAAATTGAACTTAAATTCTGTGTTTGTGTGTGTACTTTTTGGTTCCGATGACATTTCATTTCTCTTGAAAATAAAAACAAAATATTTGGTTTTCAGTGCAATACACTTAAGACTTAAAGAGATGTGACAAAGATGCTTATTCTAACTGAACGGACGTTGATGTAGGATTTTTTTTTTCCTCTCAAATAGAAACAGAACTGAAAACTTCGAATAAATGGCCATTCGAATTCGGGTCGTGACATCGTTTGTCACCGAGAAACCAATTTAATATTATTGATTAGCAGTGTATATTCGGAATTGCACTAAAAGCAATGCCATTTACCATCATTTTTTTTCATCGATTTTACATACAGTTTTAAATCGAATCTTCTACATATAAAAAATCGTTGAATTTTATTATTTAATCTTTTCTTTACGCTACGGTTTTTGTTGTTGTTGTTAATCCATTTAATTTGATTATTTGGTGTTGACCAGACTTTATTCTATTGGGATTTGCTGCGGGCCTGTGAACTATCTTCATACCGTCTAAATGTTGTCTTTATATATGACGTGTACAGTGTTGACAGAAAAAAAAATTCTTTTGTTCAGTATATTTGGTTGTTTCACATTATATATACATACAGTCATTTCGGGGGCAATGGAATGTCGATTTGAAAATATCTAAAAAAAAAAAATCATAACAATTTTACATATAATTGATTCTCATATATTTATATTTGTTGTTTATATGGTACAAACTATTCACGAAGTGTTGTGATCCTAATTGTTCTCTATACGATCATAATGTTTATTCATTTCATTTAATATTTTTTTGTTGTAGTTTTTTTTGCATATATATTATCCAAATTAGAATTATGTCATATGTACACGAATGTTCTCTTAAATCTGCTTTTAGCTATGAAATCACATACAACTACATTGTGCTGCATGCAAATATTTTCGTGGTAATTTTTTTGAATATTTTTTTTTTTTAATTTATTTTGTGTGTTGTTTTGGTAGCGAATTTTTATCAAGTAATTTGCGCTAGACTAACCTAAAACCAAAATTCATTTTGTTCTGATCTGTTCTGCATTTTGAATGTAATCATTATTTTATATACTTTATTTAGAATAATGTCACTGCTTTAACGCGTATCAAGTGTTTTATTTTCTCCATATATTTCTTTTGTTCTCCTTTTCTATCGGTATGTGTAAAATATGTTCAACGAAACATCATTTAGTTCAGTTTGTGTGCCGTTTTTTAATCGGATTTTCAAATGTCGTCCCATGTGCAATCGACTTCATAGGTACGCGTTTAATTAGTTCGTGTCGATGGATTGCCGCATCAATTTTATTCCGGAGTATTTAGTTAAAATGTACATTCAATCTCATAACTTTTATTCGAATTTTTTTCCGACACAAACCGTGAGCTTCTTCTTCATCTACTTCTGCTTGTTGTCGCATGAAAAATCTGCAACTTTATTTCACAAGAACCGATAATCATTCAGTTGAATAGATTTAGAATCATTGTCGACATTATACGTCTCTTCGATCGAACTTTTGTTTCTTTTTTTTTTAGCTAATTAATTTTAAAATATCTATTCTCAGTTATTTTTCTATACATTCTATGTACTATTGATAAAGCGTACCGTTGGTTTTTCATCTCTCTAAATAAATTATTCATTATGTCCTCATTTGGTTTTCGTTCATTTTTAATGCATACTGTTTTGATTTTAACATTGACACAGGATAATTTGTCGCTTTAGTCACGTAGTTTCATCGAAGTCATTTTTATGATTTTGATTCAACATCTGTTAATTCATCGTCTGTACAAATATAAATGCTATTATATTATGCAATCGATTGAACGCATCAAAACTCTGTTTTTTCAAAATTTCCAATATTCTGGTTTTTCACATGTACGCTCACGACTTTAAGTCGTAGTTAAGATTGTTTTCGATGTCGAAATTATTTTGGTGTATATACAAAAATTCTATATAAATTTAAAGTAAATGGATATCCAGTGTTTCCTTATAACCTTTTTTCATTTCGGTTGTTGCTTGAAAAATAAAGAAATGTGAAAACTGTTCAGTGTTTAACTATCCCTAAATGCTTACACTACAGACAACAAAAACCTTCGAAATGAATCACAATCACGATTATTATTCGAAACGAATGCTCTTAACAAACGATTTCATTTTCTTGCTTTTATGGATATGAGTTCATCAATTGAGCTACATAATTGTGAGTTTAAACAAATGTGAATGACGAATATATGAGATGGCGCACAATTAACTATCAGTGTTTATATTCCGGATAGCCTGATGTCCCCATTGATTGTGCGTCGTCGGAATCTTGATCGATACGGACGTGTCGATGGTTCGATAAATGTTGTTGTTGCTGTGTTGCTGTTTGCGTTAAGTGAATTGGTTGAACACTTCCACTGCTTGTTTCTGTCTCCGTTGATGGTGGCGATGGGTAGTATCTGTATAAATAAATGACAAATTGATCATTTAGATTTTGAGAATATTCTTAAAAATCAAAATTTTACCTACCTGTGCCCGACATTTATTCCATTTCCAGTCATCACTTGAATGGGCACGACCGAACCTACGCAATTTCGAAAGAATATTTTAGTTTTGAAGCAAAAAAAAAAAGCAACGAGTTTGCATTCGGAAAATATTTTTTATTACCCATTGGTGAATCGCTCATAATCGCCGTTGATGTAATAGTATCGGCTGCGTCTTGGTAGTGTTGGAGTTGCTGAATTTGAAGCGACGAGTCGTTGATGCCGGTAGTGATGACCGATTGTGCTGTTGCCAATGAGACTGAGGGTGCTGTTTGATGTGGCGTTTTTATAGAAATGGACTGTGTTGAATCGGGTATTTCCAGCACCACGGAGACGACATCTTCACTCGCCCATCGCGCTATTGGTTGTTGAGCTTGAATAAAGTCATCACTATAAAAATAAAAATCGTAACAGGAAAACGGAAAACGGTTTTTGTTCTTATCGGCCGTTTGATATCTTCTCCATCTTAGCTGTTCAATCTCTTTTTTTAAGTTTGTTCGATTTTGGATTAAAACAGTGTGATATGAATGTGTCAGTGAATGAGTCATCTTTGTTTTGTGAAAGATTTGAAATGGTCTCATTTGCTGGGTATACACAAGTGTTAAATGTTGCTATTTAGATATATTTAGCATATGCAATTGAAAGAGGGAGACAGTAGACAGAAGTGATAAATAGAATTGAATAGAAAAGAGTGAATGCATACGAAATTGAAAATCAATCGCTTTGATTATTGACGTATCAAACGGTTCGAAAACAAATAGTAGGAATAAAGTGGGTGGGACTGATGGAATCAAGTATTTGATGTGTGCGAGTCAAACATGACTCTTACACCTGTAATCAAATTCGAGGTGTGTGTGCAATAAGAAATTTGTATGAGTACCTACCTTTCGCTATCTGGAGTTTCACGGTTGACACGTGGATCAACCATTGAACGATCATGATGATCGGCACTTTCGTAAATACCCTCTTCGTCCTGATGCAAATGCGTATGAGATGAATGATGCGATGAATGTGCTCCGTGCGATACATGGCCGTGCGTGTGGCTATGATGCGAATGATGGCCGAATGAGTGCGTCGAATGAGGCGAGTGTGGCTGGTGCATTGGATGTCGATTTTGCGTCGGATGTCTATACCTTCCATACACGAAACGATTTTCATCCTCCGATCGCGGCCTACATCTAGAATTGTATGATGACATGATTGTGGCAGTTTTCTGTTGCTGAGCTAATTGTTGGTTTGAACTGTGTAGAATTGAAAATCAAATTTTCGCATTGCATAAAATTGCATTGAAACAAGAATTTGATTCCGGCATTGTACTAATGAGAAATTGAACTAACCCTTGTGAGGACTCACTGCAAGCTGAACTATCTAATCTATAGTGCCGGTCTGCTTCATTCTCCGACATTCGTATATCTTCTGAACCGCTTGGACTCATATGTCTAGTTGAATGATGTTCTAATTGTCTAATAAGGTCTTCTATGTTTCTTATACGTAATTGACCACCGGTTGACGTAGCTACATCGTCGTCAGCCTGCTGTTGCGCCTGTTGCATGTGCTGTTGATGCATGGCGTGCGGCCTGTGTTGCGAATGCATCATTGACGTTGACGGCCCATTCTCCACCATAATTGAGTGTGGTTGCATGCTATCGCAAATATTTTCTTTCGAACTCGACTTTGAACCGCCACGCTTGTATTCGCCATAGTTCAAAGCAGCCGCACTGCATTCTTGTAATGCTTTTCGTAGTAGTTCTTCGCTTATACTGCCGCTGCCCGATGGAGTATTGCCCGCTCCTGTTCCGCGTTGCGAAGAAGATTGTGCGTTTTGTATCATAAATAAGATATCTTCGTGATAACCCTCAAGAGCTTTGGCCGTACGCTCAAATCCAGGCCCTTTTTGCTCTTCCCCATCTTGAGTCTCACCTTGCTGTGGAATCAACTCCAAATTATCACCACTCTGGCGATGATCCTCTGACCACTTCTCCTTGTTGTGCTCATTCAACATGATTCCGCTGTATGCATGCTTCTTCAGAATGCCCTTTTCTGTGGATGGACGAAACAATGATGGATAGGTGTGAGAAAAATTGCATGCCATGCAATCTATTCTACTGAAATATGGTACAGAAACACGCATTCACCATCGAATCACAAACGATTGATGTGGAACTGAATTCGATGAATTGAATACATCGCAATAGTTTTCGATTCAGTTAAAAACTATATTGCCGATCCAAACTAACCTGTGGTCGCACACATATTCGAAATAGAAATATTGAAAAAAAAAATTCAATTTTAATTGGACTAGGCCGAAAATTGAATTGTGAAGCCGAAAATTGCATTCATGCCATAATGAAAGAGTTGAAAGTACACGGGCCAAGTAAATGCAATTCGAAAATCATCAGCTTTGTTGCGCAAAAATGAAATAATTTTTCGCTTTTTCAGACATTTGATTGCCATAGCCGAATGTAAGTCGACACATCCAATTAGAAGCCGGAGTAAAAGTTCTGATTGTACAAGTTCACTTTTCAATTGGATGAATTCAAACCTTCCAACTTTTGAATTACGCTTCGAAAGTCCGATTTTAATTTAATATCAATTCAACCGCACAATGGGGTGTACCGTTTTTGTCTTGCATTTGATTAAATATCTACAGTGTGGTAAACGGCTATATCTCTTTCTCACTCTGCTTATCCCATGATGAAGCAAAAGCATTTTGTGGCAAAAGCAGCAACCATGGGGGCGACACCCAGAATTTTGCGTTCAGCGCCGGTGTACTTCATAGTGGAAAAAAAAGTGAAGCTTGCTTGTCACCAATATTGATGTTCACGGACACCAAATTGTTCATGCGTTATTTCGCCCACTTTATGCACTGAAAATATAAAGTTCTTCAATTTCTAGCAAAGAACATCGTTTTCAGTTGAACTTTCGATAAAAAAAAGATGCGTTGCAAATCATCGATGAATCGCAAGTGATCCATGATCGAACAACCATCAACGAAAAAATCATATTGCTTTTGCTTTTTATGTGAAAAAAAGTTGTGTTTTCTCGATGTGTTTATGAATTCATATATGAAATTTGATACCAATGAAAGAATTTAATATTTTTAGTGCATAAAGTAGGCGAAATAACGCATAAACAATTTGATGTCCGTGAACATCAATATTGGTGACAAGCAAGCTTCACTTTTTTTCCACTACAAAGTACACCGGCGCTGTGTGAACGAAAAAACGTTTGTATGGTTCATGTCGCGTGGATGGCAGCAACCTTGGTTCTAATGGTATATTATGTATAACATAAAATATATGGGGGTTGGAAAAACGAAACAGAGCCAAGCTCTCATATGTTTTATGTGACAAGGAGAAAGTTGGCAAACTTTTCATGTAGCGTGGCTTTTGCCGTTTTAGTTGAAACCATTCAAATGGGACAAACCATTGAAAAGTTAAGTAATTAATTGAATCAATTTTGAATTGGTTTGGGCTACAAAACAAAACAAATCCGAGATATGTTCTTCCTTCTGAAATAAAAGCATTTCGTTTGCGTTTTCATCTTTTTTCTATTCGACCGGTGTGAGTCTTTACCAATTTGTTTGTTGTAGAATTTGATTTTATCCATTCGTTTAAAAACTGCAATTAGCAGTCTACAACTTCCAAAAAACAAGAATTTTATTTGGTTATTCCAAAAATAAAAATCAGTAATAAATTCTCACCCGAATGGGTATTGTCCTCCTCGATATTCGACCGACGAATCGCCTGCAGCTTGTGATCTCTGTTGAATAAACATGTGAAAAGAGTTTCATGGAAATTCACAATTGTGTTGTTTAAACTATTTCTGTTCGAATATTTACAATGAATGCGCCCAAATTTTATTCATATCATGTACATTTTTTCTCTGTAGACTTGATTCGATATGGTGACACAAATCGACAAAACCAATAGAATAATATCAAATCGGAAATTAAACAAACAATTTTAATTATTGGCAGCGGAAAAAAATCGCCGCCATTTGTTGTATGCTTTAAATCTCATGGGCTAATTACACATAAATATTATGGTCACATCAGATTTTTGCTCTAAATGAAAACCACATTAATGGAATTCAATCGACGAAACAATGCCAAATTGGGAAATGAAAAATGCATTGAAACTTGAAAAATTTGTGATTTTTTTTACTAAACAAATGAAAATATTTTTTTCAAAATCCATGGAAGCGCACGGCTGATTTTTTTTTTCATTATATAGCTTTAATACAACTAATTAGTCAACTTTACCCGATGCAGCGATAACATTGAAAATTACTGTTTAAAAAGCATAATTTTTCGAAACAATATTGAATTTTCGCAAATGGGAAATTAAACTACGCGAGAAAAAAAACACATAATTAAACTGCGAGATTGAATGTGCTCGAAGAAAAGAGCATCAGCGTTGAAATAGAATGAAATTTAAATGAATAATTGTTTTCTTTTTAAATATATTCACATACAAGAGTCATCAACAGATACGGGATGGTCATCTGGAAGTGATTTTGCGTACAAGATCACTTCGGCTTGAACACAAAATGATTACACTTCTGTCTGCTTTCATTTACGCACATTAACATCGATTTCAATGCCAATACAAATGCAATGATCACGTGCTCTTTGGATGTTTTTTTTTCCATTATTTCGATATAATCGTAAACTTAATGGCCAGAACAATGTACTGAAGTGTGCTTGTGCGTTTTATTTTATCGTTGACATGCACGAAATAATGATTTTTAAATTAATATTGTGTTTGTGATAGTTGAATTGTGAATGAATGAAAAAACCATTTGCCAGTTGGAAATTAATTTTTTTCGAGAGAATTTAGTTTTCATGGAACACAAAGCAACGAAGAAGAAAAAAAGTTTTATAAACTACAGATGAGGTTTTCCTAGCTCTATATTTGCGATTGCTTTTTTG